AGCCCCCATATATTAATTTTTGTGGCCCAGAAAGAAGTTTGATATAATTTTTATGCATTTAGGATCATTTTTATGTTTTAATAATCTCAACATGTCTTTAATTATTTACCTGTTGAATTATTTTCTAGGGCACCTGTTTGCACACTTCTTGTTCACTGATTCCTAAGCCTCCTATCTTATTATATAATGAGAGTATCTCCATGAAAAGCGGCAGAGTTGGTTTTTTTAGTTTTATGAATCTTGGCAGCAGGGACTGAAGTGAATCACCAGGAACTAAGCAGCTAGGAAGATTTGGTCTACAAATAAGTGAAGTGTTACATTTTTTTTTATCATAAAGATAGTTAATAGTTTTTAGATCCATCCTCTAACATGAAGATTAAAGTATAAATAGATCCTCGTTTACCTCATAGGTTATTCTCTCAGATAAAGTGAATGTCTAGTTGAAATAATGTCTAGATTTTTGTTGTTTGTCTTTGCTTTAATGAATCTTAGAATGTGATGTGAAAATCCTGATGAATCATTGTCATGCTATTTGTTTCCACTGTTGGTAATTATCTCATATGAAATGCAATCATTCTTTTTAATTATGTGTCAACTGTCAAAATAATCACACATAAAGTAATTTTTCACCCTCTAATGTTTTCAGTAAAGACATGCCCAATTATAAGAAAACATTGCTTGTTAGCAGTATATTCCTGGTTGATGTTTTCAATATAATTTTGGATTTGTATGATTAATATTTTTTAGAAGATGTATTTTATTTATTTAAAAGACAGACTGACAAAGAGAAGGAGAGTCAAGTGATTCACTTCTCAAATGATCACAACATTCAGGGCTGGGTTTGGCCAAAGTCGGGAGCTAAGGAAACTGTCCTGTCTCTACTGTGAGTGGCAGGGATCCAAGTATTTGGGCCATCTACCACTGCTTTCCCAGGCACATTAGCAGGGAGCTGGAAGTGGAGCAGCTGGAAGTTGAACTGTGCCACAATGTTGGCCCCACCATTAATTTTTGTATAAGCCACAGTGTTTTAATTTAGTGCCCATATACATTTTTTCTTTTCTAAAAAGTTTACTTTCCCTTTTTACCTTTAATGATATACATCTTAACAGAATGTTGGTTTTTTTTGTTTGTTCCATGTAACAAGTGCTGATATTGGCCTATCCTTCTATATTGCCTAGCTCTTCAATTAATCATTGTCTTGATATAATAAGATAAGCTTCTATTAAGACCTTCTTTAGTAATTCTTGGATTTAGAGGATATTTTAAGGATATGTATCTCTCAGAATATAATTATTTTCCCCTGAAGGACAGTAAGCACTGAATGTAATTTAATACACATCTTGGACTCCAAAATCCAAGAGCACTTTAATCACTTTTCTGAAGGAGTTGTAACATTTCTTACTAGATTAGAAATGTATCCTTACATTATCAGCAGTACAGTAAAGCAATGAAAATGGAATATGTAACTGTGATTCACAAAAATGGTTTTTTTTTTACTCCATCTATTCAAACTAAGAAGACAGCTATGAATTACCTATGTAATGGGCCTGCCTTCCCCTCATAATCTTTTTTTTTCCCTCATATTTCTAAGATTGCTTCTTTTGGAATTTACCTAAGTTAAGGAAAGAAGCTTACATGGTAGGTATGTACCAATGGATCTCATATGTTCATCTAAAATGGCTTCCTTTTCCATTTTAGCAACCACATGCAAGGATTTGTATTCAAGCTTTATGCAAAATGTTACCAGATTTTCTTTTCAATTCAGATTTTTTTTTTTTTTTGACAGGCAGAGTGGACAGTGAGAGAGAAAGAGAGAGAAAGGTCTTCCTTTGCCGTTGGTTCACCCTCCCATGGCCGCCGCGGCTGGCACGCTGTGGCCGGCACACCATGCTGATCCAAAGCCAGGAGCCAGGTGCTTCTCCTGGTCTCCCATGTGGGTGCAGGGCCCAAGGACTTGGGCCATCCTCCACTGCACTCCCAGGCCATAGCAGAGAGCTGGCCTGGAAGAGGGGCAACCGGGACAGAATCCTGCACCCCAACCGGGACTAGAACCCAGTGTACCTGCGCCGCAAGGCGGAGGATTAGCCTATTGAGCCACAGCACCGGCCTCAATTCAAATATTTTCATTTTATCTAAAAGGCAGAGAGACAGGGAGAGACTTATGGAAAAAGATCTTCGATGTACTGATTCACTCCCCCAAATGCCCACAACATCCAGGGCTGGGCCAGGTCAAAGCCAGCAGCCCAGAGCCCAATCCAGGTTACCCACATGAATGACAGAGAGCCAAGTACTTGAGCTGTCATCTGCTGCTTCCCAAGGTATGCATTAGCAGGAAGCTGGAGTAGAAGTAGAGGAGCTGGGACTTGAACCAGGCATTCCAATATGAAATGCAGTCATCCCAACTGATGGCTTACCCACTGCACCAAATGCCTACACCACTTGCCAGGTCTTAATTAGTAAACACATAACATGCAAAGGGGAGAATTTAGAAAAATATGCAGAATACTATGAAAAAAGTCCATTACTTTATACTAAGGGATAAAGTAGTGCTATGAAATCTTTGCTTTGCTTTTATGGTTCTAGCATTCTACATTTATAACCAGACTCAGAAGTTTTTATTTACTAAAAGTATTTCAGCTGAGCATTATGAGGTTTATTCCTAACCTTCCCATAATATAACTTGATTAAAGCAAAAGGTTATTAAAGACTTGAATAATTTCCTGTGAAAATATTTAGACTACCTCTCATTGGGTTTATTGTAAAAAAAATTGATTGAAATTAAACTATTTCTCCATTTCATTCACCCTTGCCAGTATCAGTAAGCTGACCCTAAGAAGTTACCTAATATATGTCACAATAGACCCATATCCATAGTTCATCTTACTCATCATTTAAGGTATCTAATATCTATAGAAGATTGGTGTTATTAGTGATGTGCAATAAAATGTCAGGTAAAAGGTTAATTGACTCAGTTGTTTATTTAAAAAATCCACTTGACTTTTTCATCCAGATTCTGTAAAAGCAACTTGATTGCCAATTCTTGTCATCCATAAGTAACTGCTAAGATTTCTAGGATTGTAATGTAAAACCAGTACTTTCAAGAAGCTATTAACCAGCTATTAAAGAAATTAAACAGTGTTAATAACATGTGAACGAATGACTTTTATTTGCTAAGATAAACTCTTAGTCATTTTGTTCTTTTTTAAGACTAAAACAGATTTTTAGACATGATTCTTTTGTCTTGCTCTTTTACAAATAAAACATTCTATTAACTCTCATCTGCTTGTTATTTTTACAAATTTATGAGCAGGTCATACATTATTATATTTTACTACAAAAATGCTTAACTTTCCTAATGGAGAGAGTCAGGGATTTAGAATGGAACTTGGGGAAATTAAGGTTTCATTAACAGCTAAAGAGTTGTAAGTAGATGGAAGCATTGGTTAAATATATCTCACACTTCTACAACAAAAGCTTGTGATTTCCATTACGTACTGCCAGAGCAATGTTTCTTTTAAGCAGTCAGGTTAACCTCCTGCCTCAAGGTGTTTCTGATTTGCTGGAAGAAGAAACTTTTTGTGCCAGATCTACTACTACATTCCTGGACCCCAGCTTTCCAGACTGTTGAAATCTGCCTTCTTCCTGGTCTTGACTCATTTCTGTGCCAGCCACCTGCCCTGCCCAGTACCTAACTTCATATTGGCTATCTTTGTGCCCTCTGCTTACCATTGACTTGACAACCCAGTTCCAGAGCTCTTTTCTCTAGCACTGAGACACTTAAAAATTTCTCATAGACAATACATATCATCTGTATTGTTGTCATAAAATATCATGGCTGTGAGATTGGACCTGTTAATTTGAGAGTAGCATTATACCCTAAGCTTTTCTTAGCCTGCTACATGACAGAATATCTTTAGAAATATTAAGTGAAATTTAAAGCATTCTTGCTAGTCTTCTCTGGAGGCATAATATATTTAAGGTGAAACAGTTGACATCAGTATAGGGAGAACTTTACTGACCAATGGTGCATGCTTAATTACATGTTTATTCAATGTGTGATATTATCGATTTCCATATTTTATTATTCTCTTTGATTTCACCAACTTAAGCCATTCAGACACCTCTATTTCTAGTTTTCATTACTATGTAAAGCCTTCTTGAATTATTACATTTTCCACAAGCTAATAGAATATTTTATAGCAGTCATAAATATGATTCAAAACCAATTAAAACTGCTATAACAAAACTGTATTTTCTGTTTACTAGAAAATACCAATTCTACTTGAACCAAATAGCACATTTCGAATTTATATGCTGATAAGCAGTATTACATATAGCAAATTCACTTTTAATTTTAGAATACCAAATTGACTCTCTGCTTTACATAAATAAGGTTGAAATTAATACCTTATAGTGACTGAAAGGTTACTTATTTCATATATAATATCCTGTTATAAACAAAATTAAATATTTAAATATGTTTAAAATTAATGTGAAGAGTGATTATAAAATTGTTTTGCTTATTATGTGTAGTTTATGTGATCCATTGTTGCTTCTATATCTCAGAAGTTTAAAAAAATTGCTAAAGTATAGTAGGCTTGCATCTCTTTCAAAATTCACTGAAATGATATGTAGTTCTTATTTAAAAGCAGCTAATGATGGAGTAATAAAAGTTTAGCTTTTTTTAAAACCTATACTGTTATGTAATAGGATTTAAATATTAAAATACTATGTATTAAATATGTAGATTTTTGATTTATAATGAACATTCAGTTATATTGGAGGACTTGTATTTTCTAACTTGAGATTGTTTTTACAGGAGAAAATTATTTACAATTGGAATATCAATTAATATCAATTCTTTCACTAATTATCACAAAAATGACTAAAATTAATGTTCTTTTATCATAATAAACTAAGGCAATTTACATTTAGTTTTCTTTGTCTTTCTATTTGTTTTATTTCCCCTCCCATCCCCCAATTATTTCATGGAATTTCAGTGCTTCAGAGAATTTAGATGAGCTCTCTTCCTCCAATAGCTGGTTACTTAACCAGAGGCACAGTAAGAAAAGGAGAAAAGACAGGACAAGATTGAAATCTCCATCCTTGACTATCACGAATACAGCAGCCCGAACAAGGCCACTTCAAAGTTTCCACAAACGAAAACTCTACAGATTGAGCCCTGCTTTTTATTGGACTCCACAGGTAAGGCCGCCTTTGGGAAAACATGAACAAAGATTTTATCATCAGTTTATTTCATATACAAGAGGAAATGGATTGTATAGTTTTTTAGAACAATTATGGTGTAGAAAGCCTAAAAGTATAGTTTATGAATGATCTTTAGATATTGACATGATATAGTGGGATTTAATAAATTTTTAGTCATGGCAGTGTACCCTGATAACACACATCTCCAGTTGTTTTTTTTTTTTTAAGTGCACTATTAATGCTTAAACTATTTTGAAAGAAAATTAAATGTCCAGATGATTTTTAAAATGTACTAGTAAGGATAATGAATAAAACAAAAATGTAGTACATATTTGCCTTATGAATATTGCTCAGGATAATATCTGTACAGATGTTAGTTTGGAAGAAATGATATTGCTCTACATTTTAGGTTTTGTATTTGTTAATCCAAGTGAGCACTCTATTTTCTTTTGAACATAAACAATACGATTTTCAGGATCTAAAATTGTCTAAAATGTTATTTTATTTTATAATTAAGTAAATTATACTTTATTAAAACATTCATTTTGAAAAGCATATTTATCATCTATAGACAAAATGATGGATAAGCAAGCTGTAAGGGCAAAATAAGTTATCTCTAGTTCTGACTCTTTGATATGTCTTTCCCTCCTGTTCTTTAAGATTTCTTAATAATATATCAAAAGAAAGAAATTTTCTTTGGTGTTTTATTTAATATTAGTTCTAATTAATATTACATTAACTATTTTAAGTATATTTGTATAAAAATCAAAATGATTTTTTCTTTATTTTATTCCCTTCCTTCTTCAAAATGATTTTTTAAATTAAAGATTTATTCATTTTACTTAAAAGGTGGGTGAAGCTAAGAGAGAGGCAGAGGCAGAGAGAGAGAGAGAAAGGTCTTCTATCCGCTGGTTCACTCCTCAGTTGGCCGTGATGCCTGGAGCTGAGCCAATCGGAAGCCAGGAGCCAGAAGCTTTTTCTGGGTCTCCCATGTGGGTGCAGGGGCCCAAGCACTTGGGCCGTCTTCTACTGCTTTCCCAGGCCGTAGCAGAGAACTGGATCAGAGGAGGAACAGACGGAACATGAACTGGCACCCACATGGGATTCCAGCGTGCCACAGGCAGAGGCTTAGCCCACTACACCACAGTGCTAGCCCCATAGTGATTTGTTTTACAAGGAACAAATTTTAAGTTTTGTTTTTATCAGGATCCAATTATAAAGAAGAATATGGGTTCGGAAAACTGAGTTTTTATTGGTAGACTTACTTATACCATTCAGTAGTTCAGATATTATTGGAATGATCTTCCAATTTGAAAGTATGTATTCAAATTATTTCATAGTTAAAAACATTTTTTTACCTAAGTCAGCCTGTAAGTAATGATTTTATTCAAGTTATGTGCATTAAATCATATTCTGTTTAACAAATTTTCTTTAAAATTGCTTCAAGCAGAGGATAAATAACATTCTTAAGATGTGATTTTGTGGTTTCATAGCCATAAATTAGAATTATGTGCCTAAAATATTTTTCATATGAATATGACATAGGATTCAGAATGGAAGAAACCTGCTTGAATAATTTAGGTGGTTTGCTAACTGTTACTAATATGATAATATAAAGATAGACCTGGAAAGTTGTAGCATGGCCAATTTTTAAACTTTAAGCAAACAAAAGAAGAAACAAGTTGTAAGGTTATTGTCACTAGTAGACTACATAATTTACCATGTTCCAGTCATTATGCTAAGAATTTTTATTACATTATTTTATTTAACCATCAAATATATAATGATGAGGCGTTACAATTCTCACTTTCAGATGCAAAGTTGAATTTTAAGGAGATTAAGTAACTTGCCCAATGTTACATAGCAAGAAATCTGGTGCCGAATAATGTTCTTACCCATATTTTGATAACAACAAAGATAAACCTAACCTTTTGTGTGCCTAAAATAAGTAAAGACAGTATGTTGGGGGAGTTGCCAGGTCAGAGGTATTAAGAAATATATCAAAAAGATGAATTTGGAAAAGTAGCAGAGTTTTGGAAGGATATGGGGGAGAGAAATGAAGCATATTAAGGGAATAATTGGAGCAGAGATGAAAAGAATTGGAGAACAGCAAATGCCCTCCACTTCCAACTTATCTCCCCTAAATGACAGGCCAATAAATACTTACCTTTGTAAATTTAAATGTCATTTATTTTAAGTAACATTCCTTGGGGCTGGCACTGTGGCGCAGCGGGTTATAGCCCTGGCCTGAATAGCCAGCATCCCATATGTGCACCAGTTCTAGTCCCTGCTGCTCCTCTTCCGATTCAGCTCTCTGCTATGGCCTGGAATAGCAGTAGAAGATGGCCCAAGTCTTTGGGCCCCTGCACCCACGTGGGAGACCCAGAAGAAGCTCCTGGCTCTTGGCTTCAGATCAGCACAGCTCTGGCCGTTGCAGCCATCTGGGGAGTGAACCAGCAGATGGAAGACCTTTCTTTCTGTCTCTGCCTCTCTCTGTAACTCTGTCTTTCAAATAAATAAAATAAATCTTTAAAAAGAAAAAAAGAAACCTTCCTTGAGATCATTAGTCCAAAATATATATTGTTATAGCATCCTGTTTTAATCTCAGTAAGTATCATTCCATTCTATAATAATCCACTTATTCTGACTTCTCAATAAATTATAAACCTTAAAGAACAAGAATTGTACCTTCATTTCTGGATTTACAGAGCCTTAAATACTACCTGTCTAATAGCACATGCTCAATTAGTAATTGTTTACTGTATTAAAGAATTAACATAGGGGCCAGCACTGTGTAGCGGGTAAAGCTGCTGTCTGCAGCACTGGCAGCCAGTGTGGACACTGGTTTGAGTCCCAGCTGCTTCATTTCCTATACAGCTCCCTGCTAATAACCCTGGGAAAGCAGCAAAAGATGGCCCAAGTGCTTGGGCCCCTGAACACACGTGAGAGACCCACAAGAAGCTCCTGGCTCTTGGCTTTGGCCTGGCCCAGTCCTGGATGTTGTGGTCATTTGGGGAGTGAACCAGCAGTTGGAATATCTCTCTGTCTCTCTGCCTCTGCCTCTCTGTAACTCTGCCTTTCAAATAAATAAATAAATCTTTTTTAAAAAAGAAGGTGATGATGATGAAAAAAAAAAAAAAAGAATTGAAACAGCTGGCACCCAAACCACCAAAGGGAAAAAAATAAGATAAAAAATGAGGGCCAGTGCCACAGCTCACTAGGCTAATCCTCTGCCTTGTGGCGCCGGCACACCGGGTTCTAGTCCCGGTCAGGGCGCCGGATTTTGTCCTGGTTGCCCCTCTTCCAGGCCAGCTCTCTGCTGTGGCCAGGGAGTGCAGTGGAGGATGGCCCAAGTGCTTGGGTCCTGCACCCCATGGGAGACCAGGATAAGTACCTGGCTCCTGCCATCGGATCAGCGCGGTGTGCCGGCCGCTGCGCGCCAGCCACAGCGGCCATTGGATGGTGAACCAACGGCAAATGAAGACCTTTCTCTCTGTCTCTGTCTCTATCTCACTTGTCCACTCTACCTGTCAGAAAAAAAAAAAATGAATGTAGTGGAACATAGGAATACTTTTAAAAGGCAATGGAGAGTCAGGGGGACGGGGAGGGGTCCGTGAATGTGTGTGTTTCCTAGATTTTTCTATTGCAGGAATTTAAAACCATCATTCAAATTTCTACATATCTATGCTATCAAATATGATAACTACCACTTATAGCTATAGAGCACTTGAAACATGGCTAATGTGATTGTACTGAATGTTTTCCCAAAAGATTGATAGATAGATGTATTTATTATTTGAAAGGTGGTATTACAGAAAGAGGGAGAGAGAGAGGAGAGACAGAGAGAAAGAAATCTTTCATTCACAGGTTCATTCCCCAAATGGCCAAAACAGCCAGATGTGGACCAGGCTGAAGCCAAGAACTAGTTATTAGTGCACAACTGCCTCAAACCTGGTGGCATTTGGGAGACATCCCTGTATTCAACCTGGTAGGCTGAAATCATCCAGCACATGGGCCGCCCTCACACACAAAGAGGGAGATGGCCATGAGCGTAAAATTCATTCTCCATGTCTATTTCCTTGATTTCCTATCTGACTTTTCAACCGTTTCAGAAAAATCTAGTAAGTGAGAACTGCCACCAAAGGGGAGCATGCCCTAAGACAAAGAAACAAGTGGGCAAATCCAGGATTAAATATAGTATAATTATTAGGGACTTAGGAATAGAAGCATACTTTAAGGTGGACACAAGACATAGCACAAAGCAGGAGAAAAAGTTTTATAGAAAAAGGTGGTTTGTGGTTAACATTCCAGATATTAGATAAGAGCAGCAGATTATCAAAATGACTTTTTTTTTTTTTTTATTCCATAGGGTTTAGGTTGACTGTCAGGGTCACTTAAACAACAGGATGGCCATTATGACCAAGATGGCCACCACCATGTCAAATTGGAGCCCTATAATTAGTACTGATAAAACTTATCAGTGATGTGAGAAATTAGAATTGTGATTAATTCAGTGCTTGGGGAAAAGGGAGTGAAAGTGGAGTGGGAAACAGCTATTGAAAATGCTTCATATCTTGATTGTGGTGGTGGTTACCAGGCACATACACAGATAAAAATTCATCATGCTCTGTGATCTTCATAAAAATGGGCATATGTCCTATGCTCCACATTCAGACTAGCCTATCCCCCTTATTTTGGTTATCTATTGTTGCATAACAAACTGCCCCAAAACTTAAAGCTTTAAAAGCATTTACTGTTATCTTTCTGGATTCTGTGGGTTACTTAAGAAATTATTCTTCCAGTCTTATGTAAGGTCTCTCACACAGTTGTTGTAATATGCTGCTTAGGGTTAGAATAATTTGCAGGCTTGAATGGGCTAGAACAGCTGGTCCTCTTTCCACCTCCTTGTAATCTCAAGATCTTACCAAGTGATCTCTCCAAATGGCTTCTTTAGTAGAGTAGTCTTTAGTAAGGTAGTTATTACGTTGTGGCCTGTG